GCCAGGCCCATTCAGGCGGGCCCCTATATCGAGTTGTTGCTGTTCAGCCGGGCCCATTCAGGCAGGCCCTTGTATTGAGTTGATTGCTGATTCAGTCAGGCCCATTCAGGCGGGCCTCTATATTGAGCTGATTGTTACCAGTTTGGCTGGAGGGTCTATTGAGGTGCTGTCCCCTTTGACCCTATCGAGTTGGGTTAGTTTTCCTGGGCTATCCCCCTCATCTCCAGGACATCATCGCTTGGCACAGCAGCTTGCCAGGAGCATTCTATACTATTTTGCAGATTGGTCAAGCTGGCTTCTCAACGAGATACAACCCCTACATGGGGTAAGCTGGTTGAGAAGTTTTGCTATCGACACATTGGGCATCAGAGCTTCGTCATTCGGGCCAACGAGTCTCCCACATCGAGGTACACATTGGTGGTCACTTATCACGTGAGAGATGTTGGGCAGGGAGTGAAGGGAACCACCTACGATCGGATTGCTGACTATACCTTCCGCAGGGAGAGTTACTGGAGGGAACACTGGTTACATGTAGTGTTTCCCCAGATTCCCTTTGCACCAGGTGGTGCCCTCTACGACTTTGATCGCTGTAATCCTAAACCGCTGAGCAGAGGTGGCAGCAGGGTGAAGAGGCGTCAAGACAGGAGGATCAGGAGCGAGGTGGCCAGATCCGGAATACCTATTACCACCTGTTTACAGAGATCTGAGACAGACGAGTCAGATCAAGAGCCTTGTTGCGTGAGTGACGTTGATCTGGGGTACTATTTTGACTGGGATACTCACATGGACTGAGCACGCTTGATTTGGAGCAGATCCAGAGTATTTTACGACACTGGCCACTAGAGCGAGACGCAGGCAGAAGGCAGCTCTACGACGGGTTGCTTACCTCCTGGCACGATATTTGCTTGAGGGAGATTGATTTAGGCCATACATGTCAGGCTTACCCAAGTCAGAGGAGGTAGTCGGCCCTTCTAGAGGGAAGGGACCAGTTCCATATCTTGGGGATGGCTACAGTCATTTGGTGGGAGCGGACTTCGTTATACAGGCTTTTCGGAAGCCTCTCTATGGAGACCGTTTTCTGGAGGTTTCATACGACTACATCTACGGCAAGGGGCGGATCGAGATCTTGATCGGTGCCACTGGCAACATTTCCCTCGCTGAGGAGTTGTACCTTCGGAGCGTTGTAGACGAGGAGATGGCCAGATGTATGGCATACATCAACAAGATTGATCCTACGGCATCTTTCGACATCAGCTATGTGGTCCCAGAGTTTATCGCCACTCAGGTTCTCAATGATGAGGAGGACCAATGTGTACCAGATATGGAGTCCCAAGCAGTCGAGCCCACTCATGAGGGGATACCGCTCGTTGTCATTGACTGAGGCTCGTATCTTTTAGTCACTGAGATGTATTATGACATTACTATGATTTATCAGTGACCGCAGCCCCTCCTTTTATGGCTGCTTCCTGCATTCTTTGTGTATTACTTTTCAGTCTCGTATCTCTGGTCATGCTCTTGTAGAGTCTGGTTTCTGGTCTTCTTTGTACTCTTAGTGTCATCTGATTTATGATGCATGCCCTGTAATGCACTGAATGTTTATGCATGAGATAACAAGTTATTAATTACTCCTTATCATAACAGGTTACACTCAAGGCTACTTGAAGGACTCCTGGATAATACGGACTCCGGTGACCTTGAGTCTAGCCTTTATACGGGGTCAGGTGGAGGCGATAAAACCGAACGCCTCACTCTAAGTCGTGTCGCCGCTGGCAGGAGGGATAACCCTAACTATTCGATTGTGTGACAAAGGCTGCTTGTGATTTCACTTCCAATTTTCTTAAAACTCTCCAAAATCCTGCGTGACAGCCTGCCAGTCCACCAACCCACCGCACTCGGCCCGGGGAGAGACACCGAACCAGGCCTTGGAACGGTGGGGGCGCGACAACGTGTCAAGAGGAAAAAACGAGGAGGGAAAGGGTGAGGTTACTTGGGGTGCGCGCGAAGGGGGACGTTGATGAAAGGAGAAGCGGCGGACGGAGAGAAGGTACAAGGGAGGAGAGAGAGAGGGAGAGAGAAAGAGAGGGAGAGAGAAGAGAGAGAGAAATTGACCCCTAGGCCTAATCAAACTTACTTCTTAATCACCCGCCTACCCTTACCCAAGACGCCCCGTGCCCCTTAGTTGCCCTACTTGAGCGTGATACACGGGTGCCGGAAGGAGACGGGGGAAGGAGAAGGTAGAAGGTGCTTCGCTATGGTGGATGGGTGCGGGAGATGGAGGAGGAAGAAGGTGGGAGGCGCTTGGCTATGGTGGGCAGGTGTGCGGGATGGAGGAAGAAGAAGGTGTGGGGTGCTTGGCTATGGTGGACGGGTGTGGGAGATGGAGGAAGAAGGTGGGAGGTGCTTGGCTACGGTGGACGGGTGTGGGAGATGGAGGAGGAGGAGGGAGGTGGGAGGTGTTTGGCTATGGTGGACGGGTGTGGGAGATGGAGGAGGAAGAAGGCGTGTGGTGCTTGGCTATGGAGGATGGGTGTGGGAGATGGAAGAGGAAGAAGGCGTGGGGTGTTCGGCTATGGTGGACGGGTGTGGCAGACGGAGGAGGAAGGAGGTGGGAGGTGCTTGGCTATGGTGGACGGGTGTGGGAGATGGAGGAGGAAGACGGCGCGGGGTGCTTGGCTATGGTGGATGGATGTGGGAGATGGAGGAGGAAGAAGGCGTGGGGTGCTCGACTATGGTGGATGGACGTGGGAGATGGAGGAGGAAGAAGGCGTGGGGTGCTTGGCTATGGTGGACGGGTGTGGGAGACGGAGGAGGAAGAAGGTGGGAGGTGCTTGGCTACGGNGGAGGAAGAAGGCGTGGGGTGCTTGGCTATGGTGGACGGGTGTGGGAGACGGAGGAGGAAGAAGGTGGGAGGTGCTTGGCTACGGTGGGCGGGTGTGGGAGATGGAGGAAGAAGGCGTGGGGTGCTTGGCTATGGTGGACGGGTGTGGGAGACGGAGGAGGAAGAAGGTGGGAGGTGCTTGGCTANTGTGGGAGACGGAGGAGGAAGAAGGTGGGAGGTGCTTGGCTATGGTCGGCGGGTGTGGGAGATGGAGGAGGAAGAAGGCGTGGGGTGCTTGGCTGTGGTGGATGGATGTGGGAGATGGAGGAGGAAGAAGGTGTGGGGTACTTGGCTATGGTGGATGGACATGGGAGATGGAAGGAGGAAGAAGGTGTGGGGTGCTTAGCTATGGTGGACGGGTGTGGGAGACGGAGGAGGGAGAAGGTGGGAGGTGCTTGGCTATGGTGGGCGGGTGTGGGAGATGGAAGGGGAAGAAGAAGGTGTGGGTATAGTGTCGCCTTGTTTGCCCACAAATCCGAGACTCTCCCTATCTACCACCTATGCTCCTATCACTACCTCAACCAAGAGCCCCCGGTTCGTACCCCACATCGAAATTGCAGAAAATCCACAACCTTGCAAAGGAAACTGCAGAAAATTCAGAAATTGCAGATGATACAAAATTTGCAGCAAACACCGAATTTACAAAGAACTGCAGACTTTAAGGAATCGGAGCACTGCTACCTAGTATATGAGTGAAAAGCACAAGTCTGAACAGTCCAAATCACAAGGGAAGAACAACACAACACTCAAGGAAGGATCGGAGCACTACTACCTACTACATGAGTGAAAGGCACAAGTGTGAACAGTCCAAGTCACAAGGGAAGAACAGCACAACACTCAAGGAAGCATCGGAGCACTACTAGCTACTACATGAGTGAAAAGCACAAGTGTGAACAGTCCAAATCACAAGGGAAGAACAGCACAACACTCAAGGAAGAATCGGAGCACTACTACCTACTGCATGAGTGAAAAGCACAAGTGTGAACAGCCCAA